TCTCAATCTCTCCATCATCCATCCTGACACTGCTAATTGGTCCAGTGGCAAGAATCTTTGTCTTCTTGACATTGAGCCTTAGTCCATACTGAAGGCTGAAGTCCTTGACCCTTCGCAGCAAGTGCATGAGGTCCTCCTCAGTACATAGGTTGGAAAAAAAAATCTTTTCTCTCACCAAACCTTCCTTTCAATCAATATTCTCACAAGAGAATGTTGATTATCTTTATGCAACTAGAGTTGCTTGATACATACATAAGAAAATGTCAACATTTATTACTTCCCTATCTCTCTGTACAAAGCTGACTATGTAATTGTTCAATGTAATATTTAATTCACTGGAAATGTATATATTTGAGATAAGCTATCATTGTAAAGAACATGGCTTCGCAAACATTTTCTGGAAAGAGCTACGTAGTAAATACTTTCAGTTTTGCAGATCACATTGTCACTATTACAACTTTTCATCTATAAAGTTGAATTGCCAAACCTTTGTGGACAATTCAAAATACAGTGGTGTTCCACAAAAGTGTATTTAGAAAATCAGGCAATATGAATTTGCTCTATTATCCAAAGTCATCTAACTATGGACACAGAGCTATTCTATACGTTTCCTTTGCCTTTTTATAATATTTGGCAGCATAGCTACATTATAATTTCTTCAAGCAGGTCTTGTATTATTGATAAATACATTGGCTGGGATTTCTATCCTTTTACTATTAGGAAAGAATTATACAATATATTACAAAACTTGTTTTTAATAATATAAGAGTGGGCAAAATGCTATCATTTGCGCTGACTGATAATTTCCAAACTTTTCTTAAGAAAATAGCAAATGAAATTTAATTAGGTTTTTACTTTTTTGTTTTAGCCTATTTGAATATGTGAACTTTTATAGGAAGAAAAGCAATGATCACTTTTCATATTGATGGTGTTTGCAATCGCTTGTTATGCATCAGAGAGAGTTGGACAACGACTAGGGAGGGCAGAAGGAGAGTGGATGCTTTTGAGCTGTGGTGCTGGAGAAGGGTACTGAATGTACTGTGGACTGCCAGGAAAACAAACAGATTTATCTTGGAGAGGATTAAACAAAGCTACTCCTTGGAGGCAAGGATTCTGGGGCTTCGTCTGACATACTTTGGACATGTTGCCAGGAGGGACGGGTCCTTGGAGAGGGACATCATTCTTGGGAGGGTTGAGGGACTGTGCAGGAGGGGAAGACCCTCTATGAGATGGATTGATTCGGTGACTGGGGTAATCGGGATGGGTGTGTCAGAGGCGGAGCAGGATAGAGCAGGGTTTAGGGCTGTTGTGCGTAGGGTCGCTATGAGTCGGAAACGACTCGACGGCACATAACAACAAAACAACAAATATATTTCTTTTAGGAATTGACACAATGTCTATAAAATTATTAAATAATATAAAAATATTTACGTAGGAATCTTTACTATTTGTGTCTTTGTCATTAAATAAATTATTCTTTGAAATATCTGAATTATTTTCCATGGAGCTCTCAAGACCTAGAAGTAAAGAGTTTACTGCCAACCCAAAGGAACATGGTTCAAATCCACTAGTTGCTTCTCAGGAGAAAGATGGGCAATCCTATTTTATTAGATTTACAGCTTCTGGAAACCCACAAAAGGGTCAGCTATGAGTTGGTTTTGACTCACCAGAACATAACAGTACTGTGACAATGATTTCCAGAGCAAAATTTTTGACAACTTTGATGCTGGGGACTCTTTTGATTTTTAAAAAATAGAGTTTATTATATTTTTCTAAATATCAGTCACATTTTAAGTGCTCTACATGCATATAAATTCAACCAAAAGTCACCCAGCCCACTTGAGTGCCCTGCATTTTGCTAGTGTGAACACAGTTAGGATTTCCCCCCCACAACCATTCTTCCACAGACCCCCCCCAACTAATCTAATAGCATGCACTTCTTCCCATTCTTTGATATTAAGGAGCTTCTGCATCATAGCATACTACTCTCCCTAGAAATATTATCCTTAGAAAGAGATCAATATTTGTTCCCATTCCAAAGAAAGGTGAACCAACAGAGTGTGGAAATTATCAAACAATATCCTTGATATCACATGCAAGCAAGATTGTGCTGGAAATTATCCAGAAATGTTTGGAACAATGTCAACAGAGAACTGCCAGATGTGCAGGCTGGATTTAGAAGAGGTCACGGTACTAGGGATATTATAGCTAATGTAAGATGGATCTTGGCAGAAAGCAAAGAATACCAGAAGAATGTCTATCTGTGCTTCATTGACTATGCAAAGGCCTTTGACTGTGTGGATCACAAGTTATGGCTGACTCTGAGAAGAATGGGAATCCCAGAACATTTGATTGTGCTAACACAAAACCTATACTTGGACCAAGAGGCTGCCTTCGGAACAGAGCAGGGAGACGCTGGGTGGTTCAAAATCAAGAAATGGGTCAGGGATGTATTTTGTCTCCATACCTTTTCAATCTGTATGCAGAACAGATCATCTGAGATGCTGGGCTATATGAGGAGGAATGTGGCATCAGGATTGGTGGAAGAATCATCAACAACCTGCGTTATGCAGATGACACAACACTGCTCACTGAAACTGAAGAGGACCTGAAGCACTTGCTGCAGAAGGTCAAGGTCTGTAGTCTTCAATATGAATTGAAGCTCAATATCAAGAAAACAAAGATTCCCATTACTGGGTCAGTTGGCAGCATCAGTATGGATAGTGAAGAGATTGAGATAGTTAATAGTTTTAGTTTGCTTGGTTCCACAGTCAATACTCTTGGTAACAGCAGCCAGGAAATCAGGAGACAAATTGCATTGGGAAAGTCAGCTGTGAGGGACCTCTCAAGAGTACTGAAGTGCAATGACGTCAGGCTGGAGACGAAGGTGCACCTCATCCAGGCTATAGGCTTTGCAATTACATGCTTTGCATCAGAGAGTTGGACAGTGAATAGGGATGATAGAAAGAGAATTGATGCCTTTGAGTTGTGGTGCTGGAGAAGAGTGTTGAATATACCATGGATTGCTAGGAGAACAAACAGATTTGTCCTGGAGAGGGTGAAGCCAGAATGTTCCCTGGAGTCAAGGATTCTGAAGCTTCATCTGACATACTTTGGCCATGTTGCAAGGAGGGACTGACTGGTCCTTGGAGAGGGACATCATGTTTGGGAGAGTGGAGGGGCAGCACAAGAGAGGAAGACTCTTGATGAGATGGATCGATTCTGTGAGTGGAGCGGTGGGAATGAATGTGTTTGGGACAGTGAGGTTGGCACAGGATAGAACAGCATTTAGAGCTCTTGTACATAGGGTTGCTATGAGTCGCAAATGACTTGATGGCACATAACAACAACAACAACAACAAACATCTCATCCCATAACACATGTTCATGATGCAGTGCCCCAAAGTTTTGTTTATAAGGACATTCAACATCTGTAAATGTGAGACCACAGTCTTTTCTTGAGTTTTCGAGAAATGCAATTAACTCTGTTATAATTTTGACTTCTCTTTTAATGGATTCTGGCAGGTGACCTGTACCAGTCTCCAAATTAGCATAAATCAAGTTAATTTTTATTGTCTTTCCTCAACTTTTTTCTGCTGTTGTTGCTGTTCAAAGTGAAGTAATTGAGAGCATACTTGATCATAAGAGAGATTTTATAGGATTTATATAATCTCTGAGGGGGAAAAATCCCACTTCTTTATATTCTACTCAATATGTATTGATAATTATGGTGTCTGGTTCCACTTAAAGTTCTCTGTGGGACCTGGAAGCTCCTAAAGTGCATTGTTTCCAATTTATAGATAGGTACCTTTCGTGATGTAAGCTTTGCTCAATAAACTCAGCTAGCCAATAAATTCAATTTGCTGCCATTAAATCAAAGCCAATCCTTCAGTAAGTTTTCTGAGGCTGTAAATGACAGGGGAGGAGTTTTTCATCTTTCTCCTGAGGAGCAGCTGGTGGATTTGAACTGCATGCCTTTGAATTGGCAGAGCAAACCTTTACTTACAGTTGTTATTATTGTGTATTGTCTAGCCAGAAGTGACCCATAGCTGACTGTCCACCAGAGTTTGAAAGCCAGTAAACTGCACGGGAGGATATTGTCAATCTTTTTCCCATGGAGCAGCTGGTTAATTTGAGTCCTATACCTTTGGATTGTAGAGCAATTCCTCACCACTAATCCTCTAGGCTCAATGAAAAAATCAGTGAATAAGTGACTTTACACATGATACTTTGTACTGAAGTTACTGAAACTTACCTTAAAAGTTGTGGCCCATGTGACTACATATTATCTCATGACAAAGGTCTGTTTTCCCTGAGAAGCTTCCTGATTATTGGGAAGAATTTAAGAAGAATGAGGTAATTTGAGAAAGAATTAGCGAAATCTAATCTGTCTCAGTCCCTTGACAACAGATGAGAAAGCAGACATCCTTAATAATGAAATGGTAATCATTGACCCTCTTAGCTGTAATGGTAATGGAAAAGGGAGCGGGCTTGGGAGGATCAATGGTATATGGCAGCATTAGTTAAGAGATGGAAATGTAGGATAATCCCAGGCTGATTTATTGAAAGAAATTGAATAAAAATCCCAAAAGTAAGTACGTGGAGGTAAGGAAGATTAAATCATGGCAGATGGTTCTGTAAGAAGTGGCAGGGATAAAATATATGAGGATGTCAGGATTATTATTACAAATTGTTGCATACTTGAGTGAAAACAAGGTTTAATTTTCAAATTTGTTTTGGACATAAAGGCACCAGAAGTTATGAATATTGTTTATGAATGTTAATACATAGACATTGCTGCATGCTTAGTCATATATTAATTAAAAAACTCCTTATAATTTTAAAATGTTCTGAAAGATCCAAAACCTTGACAGTGTGAATTCAAAGCTGCTCCACTGATTCACAGTGCTGCACATTAGTGACTAATGAGTTCTCAGTAAATGATATGCCTTTGTGTGTGTGTTTTGAACAGGGTTTCAAAGAGCCCAGGAAATACATAGCTGCACAAGGTAATCTTTTTGACACTTCCTAAAAATTTTTAAAAATGGCTTCCTGGCACTTTGAAGAAGCAGTTTTAATTGTTCCATGTTTATTTACATCCTAGGACCCAGAGATGAAACTGTTGATGATTTCTGGAGGATGATCTGGGAACAGAAGGCCACGGTCATTGTTATGGTCACTCGATGTGAAGAAGGAAACAGGGTCAGTACCATAGCCAATGTGTAGATAGAAGTGTTGTCTAGTCAGCAAAAGAATGTATTGAATTACATTTTAAAAAGCAATACAGGTATTGATGGCTAAAATAGTTCTCTTAGTCATTTTAATACCTAATTTAATTTTTTTCATAAATGTAGAAAAAACACATATTCGCATATATAAATAAAGCACACATAACTTATAAATGCATGGGCTTAATTGCTGGACTTCTACAAAACTTGTATTTCCTTTGAGTATTTTTCTACACTCAGTCCATATGAGTTCTCTAAGGTCCATATGCAGATACTGATATCCTAAGTGTGAATGCTTAAAATCAAACTGAACCTAGGGGGATAGATGAGGAATCATGGGATGTGAGGCATGAAAGTCTCCAGCTCTTTCTCCATTAAATAAACCATGCATTCTCATCAAAACATTGATCTCTTTTTATGATGATTTAGTACCTGCTTGTTAGCATGCTGCTAAGCCTGGGAAGACCATCCTTCTGTAAAGCAGTAGGAAGGAATTTTTTCAGGAATGCATTAAAACATCATAGCTGAAGGAGAATATGTAAATGAAAGATAATATTCAATGTTTTGTGAATTTCAGAGGAATATAGTTGGATGGAGCTCTTTTTTAATATTGACTGAAGCAAATTAAATAAAACACTGGAATAAGTAATGATTGTTTGTTTGTTTTTAAATACAGAACAAGTGTGCAGAATACTGGCCATCTATGGAGCAGGGTACCAAGACTTATGGAGATGTGATCGTAAAAATCAGTGAGCACAAAAGATGCCCAGATTATATCATTCAGAAATTGAACATTACAAATGTAAGCTTGTTTTATTAAACAATTTTGTGTTGCTATGCCTTTCTACAAATATGGTAATGGGAGATTAAAGTGAGAAATTAAAATACATCAGAAAAAATATTTTTTTATGATTTGCTGGAGAAACAGTTGGATTAGAGCCATTATATAAACAAACAGGGTCGTGGTCTAATTATTAATTCTCCAAGTATTTCTAATTCTCAGATCTGTGAGGTATACTCTCTCAATACTGTCATGCAATTCCAATTCTTTGTGACCCTATAGGACAGAATATGATTAAACATTAGTGGTTTTAAGGTTGAAAATCTTTACAGAAGCAAACTTTCTCATCCATATTCTTCTTCTCATCTCTTCTTTGAGGTGTGGCTAATTGTCAACCATTTAGGTAGCAGGTAAATGCTTAATCTCATGTGCCACTGGATACCTTAAAGAGAAACTGAGATACCATTAAAAGTTTTGAATACATGATGAAATTACTGAGTTAGTGAAAAAGTTATCATTATTCTTAATGAGTTTGGTAGAAATAGGAAGAATATTTATGGAGATGGGATTGGGTGCCTGAGTAGTCCAAGGAATTGCGCTGAAGTAGTCACAGAAGGTTTGGTGCTTCAATCACATTCAGAGACTCTGCAGATGGAAGGAAGACCTGGTATTCTTTGCTCCTGTGTAGATTATGCTGTGGACATCAGTTCTATTCTATTAAATGTAGGGCCAAATGGAGGGTTTGTGGGTTTGGGGTGGGTTTTTTTTTAATTAATTTAAATGAAAGTTTACAGACACTTTGAACATCCACCCATTCATTGTTGCATTTTGTCCCTGTTCAGCCTCCCCTCCAGCTCACTCTTCTCTTTGAAAAGTAAAATTCTTTCATTGTCATACAATCCCTCCACCCCAAGTCCACTCCACTGCAGCCTTCATTCTGGACTCCTTTTATGACAATAATACCTAATCATATATCCCTGTTAAACAGTTTTCTCCCTCATCTGTTTCAATGCAGTATGTATAATTTATCCCATCCTTCTCAGTCTCCTCCCGACCCTGATGTCAGTCCCGTTTTACAACAGTTGACACTATGCAGTATTTGTCCTTTTGTGACTGATGTCCTCCAGGGTCACCCATTTTTAATAATATTTCATGAGTTCCTTGTTTTTCAATGAAGCGTAGTATTCCATTGTGTGAATATACCACAGCTTCTCTATCCATTCATTTGTTGTTGGGCACTTAGGTTGTTTCCTACTCTTTGCTATTGTGAACAAAGCTGAGATAAACATGGGTGTGCATATATCTGCTTGAGTGGCAGTCATGGTTTCTTTGGATTATATTCCCAGTAGTGGAATTACTGGGTCAAATGGTATCTCTATTTACAGCTTTTTAAGAAAGCGCCACACTGCCTTCCATAGTGGTTGCACCATTTTACACTCCCACCAACAGTGAATAAGAGTTCTACTTTCTCCACAGCCTCGCCAGCATTTTTTGTTTGCTGCTCTGTTGAATTTTGCTATTATTACTGGGATGAGATGATATCTTATTGATGTGATTTTTAAGGAGAGGTGCTTAAGGTGCAAAATGTCCCAACTGTGGAGCTTAATTCTACTTTTTACTATATAAGGCCACATCATGTTGAAACAGACTTGAAGACTATGGGCTCAGAGTTTTAAGAGATAAAACGCTGTGGCTATGTGTTATTTTTATGTGGTGTTAAGTCAGAAGAAACTCATAGATGATCCTCCAGTGGATTTTCAGAGACAGCAAATTATATGGAATGATACTGACCATCTTTCTCCCACAAAGAAGCTAGTGGATTTGAATCGCTTCATTTGGTTTTAGCAGTGTAACTTCTTACTACTAGGTTATAAGACCTCCATATAGCTATGTTGTAGAGGTATATTTAGCTTTGAAAACAAAAGAGTAGCTATAGTAGGCTACATCTAGGGCTGCTACCTGAAAAGGATAGCTATATTGTGTTACATGTTGTTGTTGTTAAGTGCTGTTGAATCGCAGACAACTCATAGTGATCCTACGAACCAAAGACTTGGACACTTGTATAACTTTCATCGATTCTCCAAGTTCATAGAATGTCCAGAGGCAAGCTATTTCGGAAGTGGATGCCACTCCTGCTTCCAAGGTGTTTTAATCGGGGAGCTCCACCAAACAATGTCCACCATGGGTAACCATTATCACATTTGATACATCAGTTTCACAGTGTTCAGCATCACAGCAATCACGAGTTACCTCTGTACAGTAAATGGACAGACAGGTGATCATAGGGTTGCTAAGTGAAATATTGTTGTTGTTGCTGCTGCTACTGTTGTTGTTGTTTTTGTTAAAGGCTGGGAAGTCAAGTATGACCCATAGCAACCCTATGAACAGAAGACCTGAACCCTGTTCTATAACTATTGTTATTTCTCTAAGTTCATAGAGTTTCCAGAAGCATGTGGTTTAGGAAATGCTTCCAAACTGAAGCAATGTGGGAGCTCCATCAAGCATTGCCCACCATGGGTAACCATTATGGCATTTGACACACCCATGGCACAGTATTCAGCATCACAGCAACCTCCGGTTACTTCAGTACAGCAAATAGACCACTGCTGTACCACTTAGAAGAATGAAATATTAGCAGTCCAAATTTACCAGTTGCTCTTTGGCAGACAGAGGGAGAAAGATGGAGGATTTTCATGAGTTGGAATCAACTTGAGGACAGTGGGTGGTATGGATGGTCTTAAGTAATAATTAAGATGGACATCTTCACACATGCTATCTGATTCCATTTGTGTACAGAATCCAGAACAGGAAAATTATACAGGCAGAAAAAAGAGTAATGGTTTTGGGGGACTGAAGTAGTGGGTAAAGAGCTAATAAGTATACGTTTCACTTTTTGGCTGATAAATATGTTCTATTATTTGATGGTATTGAGGGTTCTACAACTGTGTGAACATAATGCAAAACTACATACTTTTCATAGATTATTCTTATGATATTTTAAATATACTTAAACTATTTAAAGGGTGGTTTTTATAAAGATGATTGAATTTTTTTTCTTAATTCTAGTTGTTGGAAGACTTTCGTGAATCTAAATTTTTTTTCTATATGGTCCACATAAACTATGTAAAGGGAAAAATATCCCAAAATAAAAGATACATAGACAAACAACAGATGTCTTTTCTCCTGAGGGCTTTTAAGACTCCAGAGGAAATGCTAACTCATATGTGTATGGATAAAAAAGCCTGGTGGCACAGTAGTTAAGCACTCAATTGAAAAGTTAGTGATTGAAATCCATTTGCTTCTCTGTGGGAGAAAGCTGTAGTTGTCTAATTCTATTAAGATTTACAGCTTGAGAAACACTGTGGACAATTTTATTCTAACCTATTTGATCTTCTTCAACAACAGCATCTACAAAGATAGAGAACTCTGGTGGCCTAGTGAGTAAGGAGTTATTCTGCCAACCCAAACAGTTTGAATACACCAGCAACTCCATGGGAGAAAAATGGGCAGTTGCCTCCTGGGGGATTTATTGCTTCTGAAAACTCACTTGAGGGTCAGATATCAGTAGGTTCCAACTGGTTGCTGTATAATATACAGACACAAAAATACATTCTTTAAATACTTTTAAAAATATATATATGTAATTTTTGTATATGTGAAACTATTTTATCTTGACTAGAAAAAAGACAAAGCAACTGGCAGAGAGGTAACTCACATTCAGTTCACCAGCTGGCCGGACCACGGGGTGCCTGAAGACTCTCATCTGCTTCTCAAGCTGAGAAGGAGAGTGAACGCTTTCAGCAATTTCTTCAGTGGCCCCATCGTTGTGCACTGCAGGTACAAGGAGGAAAAAAAATATTGCCGTTGCAAATTCCAATAGTGAGCTCCAGGTGGATATTCAGATTTTCCTCTGGGGCCTAGTTGGACCTCATATAGCAATTCCCTGCTATAGTCCCTGCAGAAATTGCTAGATAAGTGAACTCTATATAAGAGAGAGTAGCTTTCTTTCCTTCTTTTGTCACAACGTTCATGTTTCTTTTCCCTGCTACAATCATGCCTTCACTGTTTGTTTATTTGTTTGTTTGTGTCAGTGCTGGGGTTGGGCGTACAGGCACCTATATTGGAATTGACGCCATGCTGGAGGGCTTGGAGGCCGAGAACAAGGTGGATGTTTACGGTTACGTCGTCAAGCTCCGGCGGCAGAGGTGCCTGATGGTTCAAGTGGAGGTACGTCAAAATTTAGTGATTATTCTCCCTTTTGTTTTCTGTGATCAGTCTGCTCATGGTGTCAATACTGATCTTAACCGCAGCACTGCATAGTTTGATGGGTGGAGGGAGGAGAGAGGGAAGCAAATGAGAAGGATCATGGGAAAAGACAGGGTAATGACAGGCAAGGTCTAATGGTGATTAATTTTATAAAACATAATTCATAGGATTCATGAGAATGATTGTAGGAAACACAGTATGAATGAAGAATAGTGTGAAACAAAATGTATACAAACTTTGTAAGCAAACCAATTTTTTAAAAAGCTGGGGGAGTAACTAAATTCTTCACTTCAAAAAAGACCAGACAATGGATTCTTTCGGTTTAATGAAAAATAAAGCATGTTTTGGTCACGAGTCAAATTCTACATCAAAGACCATAATTATTGTGGAAGAAAGATGAATGCAAAATGAATTTTTAAATTTGAAAAAACAAAACAGAGACTGAGAGTTCCTCAGAAAATAGCAAACGGGACTACAATTTTTTGTTCTTGTTATTAGGGGTTGTTGAATAGACTCAAACTGACATTGATCTTATGAACAACAGACTGAAATCTAGTCCTTTTTTTCCTACAGTTGGTCATAATTTTGACCATGCTCGAGTCTGTTAATACTGTCACTATGTCAGTCCATCTCCTTGAGGGGCTTCCTCTCATTCACTCACCCTCTACTTTTTCAAAGATGATGATTTTTTCCGAGGACTGGAGCCACCTGACAACATGCCCAAAGTGTATGAGAGGAAGTTTCACAATCCTTGTCATGAAAGAGAACGCTGGTCGCACTTCCTCCAAGATATATTTGTTTGCTCTTTGGACAATCCATATTATTCAATACTCTTCCCTAACACCACAATTGAAAGGCATCAGTTCTTCATCTTTTGTCTTCCTTATTCATGGTCCAACTTTTATATATAAAGGTGTACATTGGTCTTTACAGCCTAGCAGTTCTTACCCTGGGTGTATATCCCCCAAAGGAGGGGAAGCAGAGCCACCTATGGGAACATTTGCACTACTTTTCATTTCTCTATTCATAGTAGTGAAATGTGAAAACAACCAAAATGCCCATCAAAGTAGGAATGGTTAAACAAGTTGTAATATATACGTACAAAGGATTGTTGTTCAATCTTAAAGAGAAGTGAAATCCTGATAAATGATGCAACATGGGAAAACTTTGCAGACATGAAGTCAGTAACTAAGAAAAAATTCTATATGTTTCCACTTAGATGAAATAGGCAAATACAAAGAAGATGAAAACATATTAGTGGCTATTGAAGCGAGAATGACGGGGTAATGAGACTTATTGATTTGTCTGAAATTTCTATTCTTCACTCATTTATTTTCTATTACAAAATTACAACAAACATTTACAAAATTCTGTAAGTGTTGGCAGACTGATGAGAAAAATATAATACTAATGGTTGTTCAACATTATACATGTAATCAATTCAGCTGTAGTATATATGTACATTTGAGGTTGAAAATATTTGGTTATATGCATTTTAGCACCATAAAAAGACTGAAATACAATGTGCGTACATCATATAAGGGAACGTTTCTAAAAAATATTAAATGCTGATATTTAGGGAGGGAGAACAACTGCTCCCACACAGCATATAGAAGTGTGAAACGAAAAGCAATTTGGCAATATCTCATACAATAATTACTCTTTCTATGGCTTAGTTAAGTCATCTGTGAAACAGAGATAATAATACCACAGAGGGATAATCGTGACAGATTAAGTAATGCACAGAACACACCTAGGAAATCCCTTGGTACGAAGCATGCAGTCAGTAATTGGAAGTGGTCATTATTGCAAATGGTCATACCAAATCCAGCCATTCCATACATATGTATGTGCCCAAGAAAAGACTTTCAAATGTGCAATGGAAAACATTTGTAAGAGTGGTCACTTCATTCTAGTACTTTTTGAGCAGTTGAAAAGGAATAAGCTAAATATATCTCTATCTGTATATAAATATAATGAGTGAATAAAGTCATGAAATGATTAATACAGTGCTCCACACTTGTCCTTTTTTTAAGAAAGAGTAAAATGTCTTTCTAGATATGTAAATGCTAGTGTAAGAATGTAAAGGAGATTCTTACCAGAGAAAAAAAAATCACTTCCAAGTTGAGAATGTTCAATAGAGTTCCAAATAGATGCAAGCAGAGTTCATGTGTTGACTGAAGAAGTTTTAACTTTTTCAGAAACATGTAATGTATTTTAAAATAATGAATGCAAATAAAATAACTAGTTAGGAATTATTTTAAATGAATTTGCTATATTACTTTTATTTAAGTAATTGTCCCATCAAATTTTTTAGAAAAACTGTTTTAAAAAGTATATTCTATGCAATATGAATTTGTTCTATTCCTTTATGATACACTGTGAAATGATATGTATTATTAGCATAGTTTTATATGTCAGTAATATGATTTACTGTTTCAGAAACAGAAGGGAAAAAAGCTAGTAAGATCTATTTTTTCAATTGTTAGGAATTAAGTAAAACTAGGTACACAGTTTTACTCCACTGAGAGGCCTAGTGGTAAGAAGCTGCATTTTAATCCCAGAGGTACACAGTTTAAATCCACCACTTCCTCTGCAGGAGGAGGAAGGGCAGTTTCCTCCCCTGCAACTATTGCCTTAGCTATGTGTTAGTTTCAACTTGACAGTGCACAACAACAACAGGTACACAGTAGAGGGAACTCTGGTGGCTTAGTGGTGAGGAGTTGCATTGCCAGCCCAAATGCATGTGGTTTGAGACCAAGGGACAAAGGTGAACAGTCTCCTCCTGTGTGTTTATTCTTGTTATTTACAGGCCATTGAGTCAAATGCAACTCATAGCTACCCTATGAACAACAGAGCTATCCTCTGTCCTATTCCACACCATCTTCATCACCTCTGACATACTCGATCCAGTTGCTATAGTTGCTGATTTCTTTTTCCAAGGAATAAACATTCCTACTAACATGACTAAAGAATGTGAGAAGAAACTTTGTCTTCCTTACCTCCAAGAAGCACTCTGGCACTGTACTTTGTCCAAAGACAAGGGTCATCTGAGTTGGTTCCAAATGAACAATATATAGTAAAAACAACAGGCACATAGTCTAGTTTATTTAGCAAGCTGACCTTTTTCTAAAAAAAAAGGAATTAAATTTTCTCATATACCATAGAACTCTGAGAACCAAACACAGAACATTTTCTCTTTGGCCATACATTAGGCCAATAGGAGAAAAAATTATGAAAGTACATATTTTTAGCTAAATGTGATTTATAGCATCATGACTTCTTTTCTTTTGACATTATAGGCACAATACATCTTGATCCACCAGGCCTTGGTCGAATACAATCAATTTGGAGAAACAGAAGTAAGCCTGTCTGAATTACATCCGTATCTTTATAACATGAAGAAAAGAGATCCCCCCAGTGAGCCTTCTCCACTAGAGGCTGAATTCCAGGTAACAGCAATCACAACAGCAATAACAGCAAGAGCAAGCTTGTACTGAGTGATTTCTTTCTTTCAGATGCTTTGCTTGACGTAGTACCTTGATGTAGTTCCTATATCAGAGTATAACCATGTTCAACCGAAGAACAGAAGAGGAAATTAAGACTCAGAGAAATGCCTCAAATTGTACAATTTTATTAGCGATATCAACAAGAAATCTGGTTCTAGAGCTAGTGCTTTATTCCTCATAAACCATTCTTCCTTAAGCTGGTATAAAAGAAAATGCCAAAATACTAGCGTATAGCCACAAAATTGGCCGCCAAAGGCAATGTAGTATCTCACCTTTAAAAGTGGCATCTGGTTTCAGTTTGTAAAGGAAATAATTAGAGGAGTTTATGACTGCTTAGGAAGTTGAATTGGCTGGAGCCAATAGACAGAAACTCAAGAATAAATGTGTCCTAACCTATTTATTAGGCAATTACCCTGACAGCTAACCTAAGGTGTAGTTCACTATAACTACAGACAGTTTCAGAAGACTTTTTTTCCCAAATTGCTCCGTTGTTTACAGTTTTGTTACTTTTCCAATGGTTTCCAGTTTACTGAGCCTTTGTGTAAAATACCAAACTGGTCACTTCAGAAGTTTTAAAACAAGACCAGGGATGTCTTTTAATCAAAGTCAGACTGTTTTAATGTTTACAATCAAAATGGGGCTGAGGTGAGGGTACAAAGAGGAAGAATAAAATCACCAAATAACAGGAGACATTAGAATGAGAAAGCTCAGCATAGCCTAAAGTAGTGAAATGTTTTATTACTGTTTTTTCACTCTTTTAGCTAACAGATTCGCAATCTTCAATAGACTAACATTAGTAAGCCACACTTAGTCTTTGAAGACATTTATCATCATAATTAAACTGATGCAAATTCACTATAATAGTAATGTTTTCCCCTGAACAAATATGACAGAATCTTTGCTCTGTGCAAAGTGTAAATCCACACACCAGAGTCAGAATGATTTGCAGATGGACACAGTGAGGAGACACAGGGGGATAGGATCCAGAGACCATGACATCACTTTAGCCCCAAAAGAAGCAGTTCACTGACTATATCTAAACAAAAAGGAAGTCATAAGTGAAGGTAGAGATGGAGATGGGTTAGTCGATTTGGTGATGATTAGATGAAGCTGTTCTTACCTGTTTATTTCTACAAAACTATTGAACCAAGATCACCCACTGATGCTTGGGAGGGTAGAGGGACAGCGCAGGAGGGGAAGACCCTCTATGAGGTGGATTGATTCAGTGACTGGGATAATCAGGATGGGAGTGTCAGAGACAGTGCCATTGGCACAGGACAGAGCAGAATTTAGGGCTGTTGTACATAGGGTAACTATGAGTCGCAAGTGACTCGATGGCACATAACAACAACAACAACAACATATCACATAGAAGGAGATTGCCCATTTCTCTCCTGCAGAACTGCTCATGGGTTCAAACTACCAGAGAGGTATTGCCCCTGTGTTCACACTATAACTCATTGCAAAAGACAGAAAGCAAACTCTCTGTTCAGAGGATGTAGAATTAGTTGATTTTTTTTGTTTGATTATTTGAAATTAATGGTCATAACTATCACAAAGGGCCAGCTGATTGACTTGTTGCAGCAGATATTGTACATGCAGGTAGTTGGCTTAAACCTCTTTAGGATTTTAAAGTGACATTCTAATGAGAAACCTATCCTTGGACCAGGAGGCAGTTGTCAGAACAGAGCAAGGGAACAGTGCATGTTTCAAAATTGGGAAGGGCGCACGCCAGGGATGTGTTCTATCTCCATAGCTTTTCAACCTGTATGCAGAACAGATTATCTGGGTGCCTAGGCTCCATGAAGAGAAATGTGGGGTCAAGATTGGTGGACGCTCTATCAACAATCTGCGTTATGCAGATGAGGCAACCCTGCTTGCTGAAACTGAGGAAGACCTGAAGCGCTTGCTGCAGAGGGTCAAGGACTGCAGCCTCCACTATGGATTGAGGCTCAATGTCAAGAAGACAAAGATTCTCACCACTGGACCAATTGGCAGCATCAGAATGCATGGTGAAGAGATTGAGATTGTTCACAGCTTTAGTTTGCTTGTCTCCACAGTCAACACTCTTGGCACCAGTAGCCAGGAAATTAAAAGACACATTGCCATGGGAGAGTCTGCTGTTAGGGACCTCTCCAAAATACTGAAGAGCAATTTCCCTCAAAGAGACAGTGTGAAACTGAGTCTAACTGCCCATGAACTTCCAGAGGCAGACCTTTTAGTGGAAGCAGAATTCCTCTGACCGAACAGTGATGAAATAAAATTGTCAACCTTTTCATGAGCACACAGTGCTTAGACCACTGTGCCACCAGGACTCCTTGACAACATTTGAATGAGATTTTAAAGTTATAGACATACAAATAATCTACTTTGTTATCCCAAAACTCTGATACAAAAAGCGTATTGTATTATAGAATCCTTTCTTTTTAGTTGCAAATCGTGTCAAACTACTAAAAGACTGAGTGTCTCAGAAAAAGTCAAGGGTGCACTTTAAGTTGGTGATCTAGAAACAGTGCATGCAAATTTCATAAAACTTGACAAAAATACTTTTGGGAGTGTGTTTGTCATAATAATAAATTGATGCTTGCCATTTTTTTCTTAAGGACTCTCCCTTTCTATCCCCCCCCCCTTATAGAGGCTCCCTTCATATAGAAGTTGGAGGACACAGCACATTGGAAATCAAGAAGGAAATAAAAGTAAAAACAGGAATTCTAATGTCATCCCATGTAAGCTTTTTATGTTATTTTCACATCAGATAAAGTTAAACTCTCTTTTGGATTTCTTTAAGGTGAAAGGAAATATCATCTTTGGAGCAAGTTTTTCCTGTTTGGTTGATGGTACATAAGAGTTTAGAAGGCTATTTAAATTTTACAGCAAATATTTTGAATGTCAAATAGTTGCAAAAGACTTTAGAGTCATGGATAGAATATATTGTTTTTTTAAAAAAATTCTCTACCATTTATTTTTAAAGCAATTTCTTAGAAAGATGCAATCCCTATAGCCAGGAGAAAAACACCATGTCCCCTTCACCAATTCTCTTTAATCTTTAGTTTATGTCAACTATTCACTCCAGAGTCATTTCTAGATACACAACATTACATACTCATGCTATCTCTTTGTTTTCCTTTCTTTTATATCTAGGAGTTTGCAAGTGGATATAAAGTAAACTCTATAAACTGTCAGTAAATCATCAAATGTAATTTTATTCCTTTTAAAAATTTTCATTTTGGTGAAGATATGCATGACAAAACCAGGTCTTATTTTGTTGTTTCTAGACATAATGATTAGTGACATTAATTAAAGTCTTCACATTGTATTAGCATTTTTATTCTTTTGCTTCCATACTTAAACTCCTTTCTCCACTGTCTTTTTACCTCTGTTTTTAAATAGTTATGAGGCCTTTGGTCTTATTTGAATGCTTTTTATTTTTTAATTTTGAAGGGTAACATTTCAAAATACTTAATTTTGAAAACTTAGTTCTACTTTTTTAGTAACATTTTGGACCACAATTGCTACAGCTATAATTTATTAGATGTTTTACAGTGGATTTAGCATAGTAAATATAATCCAAACAATACATTAGATAAGCAAATGACATGAAGTCACATATGCTTGACTTACTTGATTTCTGCAGAATTCATTATAATTTGTTTTAAAATAAGGCTTTGATGGTGGTGTAGTTAGTGCTGGCCAGGTTATATAATAATTTAAAAATTAATAAACTGGAAGAAATTGTGTTGTTGTTGGTGTTGATTGCCGTCGAGTTGAGCATGACTCATAGCGACTCGGAACAAAAGACCTAATGCCTTTCTATAATTATCATCATTTCTCCAAGTTCATAGAGTTTCCAGAGGCATGTGGTTTAGGAACTGGATGTCACTCCTACTTCCAAACCTGTTTTACAACTGGGAGCTCCACCAAACACTGTCCAAACTGGGAAACCACTATGGCAATGACACATGTCAACATCACAGCAAACCCAGATTACCTCAGTGCAGCAAATTGGCAATGAGTTCTGTATAAAGTAGAATTTTCCTCTAAAATATAACACTAGTCTCACTTAGCAGTGGTTAAGTGTTGTCAAGTCAAATACAACTCATCGTGACCCTACGAACAAAAGACCTGAACCTTTTTCTATATTAACATCATTTCTCTATGTTTATAGTTTCCAGAGGCATCTGGTTTAGGAAGTGGATGCCAGTCCTGCTTCCAAACCTAAATCAATTTGGAAGCTCCTCCAAACATTGTCTATGATGGGTAACCATTATGTATTTGACGCAACTATGGCACAGTGTTCAGTATCCTAGCAACTCCAAGTTACTTCAGTACAGCAAATAGACAAATGACTACTGTACCACTTAAAGAATGTTCATCCTAAAATAGACTAGTTTTCTGGACTAAATAATTTATCTGAGAAAAGTATTTAACTATGATTGACAATTTAATGTTAGTAGAATATGACTGGTGGTCTAGTGGCAAGAAGCTGAACTGCAATACCAAATGCACATGATTCGAATCCACCAGCTGCTCCATGGGAAAAAGGAAGGGCTATCTCCTCCTGTGCAATTAACTGCCTCTGAAAACCCGCTGGAGGGTCAGCTATGGGTTAGATCCAACTTGATGGTACTCAACAATAACAACAGGATATAACTAAGTAACAAAATATTCAGCTGGTATTATTTAGTATATCAAACATAATGTAAATATTCCATGGAAACAAAGATATATATATTAAAATTGTACTCATCATATGGAATGCCATTGAAGACTGGTTTGTTTTTGTTTTCAACAGAGAAATATGTTACATTTATTTTTCCTAAACCACTGTAGGGGATTTTCCCCCGTTAAATTGAAAAAAAAAATGTTAATAAGAGTTGAGTTTTATGTTAGATGTCATTCCACATAGATCAATAAATCAGTACTATATATAGTCCATCATTTCTAAATCCCTTTCTTCCTCTTGATTTTCATGTGATAATCAAGTAGAGCTTTGACTTTTTACATAAAGACTTACTACTAATTTCTTTTACATAGATGATTTTAACAGAGTGCCACTTAAGCATGAACTGGAAGTGAGCAAGGAGAGTGAGCACGATTCAGATGAATCTTCTGATGATGACAGTGAGTCAGAGGAAACCAGTAAATACATCAATGCATCTTTTATAATGGTAGGTCATTAAATGTCCGAAGTTAAGGATATAACCCTTTTAAAATGAATTTCATGTTTCTTAGTATGGCTAATCATTAAGTAATTAATTAAAAGCAGAATCATGTACTTAACTTTGACCAAGGCTTGATTGAATTTAAAAATATTGCTCAATCATGTTATTTTCCACTAATAAGAAAATTGAAATATATTAAGCCCTAATAAGTTGATATATGTAGCTGTAACTACATTAATATTTTAAAAATTAGAAACTATACATATTTGAAAATTTTTATTCTTAGCCATCTAAATTAAAGGCAAATCCATTAGTGTTTTGTTCAAATCGTTTCATTCAGATTACTTGAATTAATTGGATCCATGTCAGATTTTTCCCTAATAAACTACCTCAAAATAGTCTTTAGTTAATAAGCACTGCATATACCTTAATGTGCACTAAGTTGAATCCTTTTCAAATTTATTTAAAACACACATTCATGGCATATTAGTTTAATTATTTGTTATTTAATCATTCATTAAGGAAGCGGTCACTCATAATAAGAATGTAAAAATATTAATTAAACTGGCAACATAATGAAGATAATTTGAAATCTTTAAGCAACTTTTTACAATTATGTTGTAACTTTTTTTTTTAAAATAGCATTTTTTACAAGAGGAATTTCTTTTTCAAGGTACTATAATCTACTCCTGATTGTACCTCATGAGTTATTTTGTCTATATAGATACCACACCTTTTCTTGGACCTAATAAGATGTTTATGTAACAGAATTAAGCGCCAACTAAGTGATTTTATTTCTAAGTGGCTGTTTTAAGCATCCACTACTCACTCTTCATTTAGGAATAATAACAAAGAATCTCATTACTTTTAAGAGTTACTGGAAGCCTGAAGTGATGATTGCCACTCAGGGACCACTAAAAGACACCATTAGTGACTTTTGGCAGATGATATTCCAAAGAAAAATAAAAGTAATTGTTATGCTGACCGAGTTGAAGAATGGAGATCAGGTTTGTATTTTTCAGATTTTTTTTTCTTTTTAAATTCAAATCTTTCTGTCATAGAATAGAATTTTTCCAGCGTACATTCATCATCTCAATACTCTGGTCTTCTGTTACTTCTGTCTTTACACAACTTCCTTTTTCTCATTCTCACCACTCGCATCTGATTATGGGCATTCATAACCCCTTGTCCTGATTATAATAATAACTTATGCTTTCCCCTACCCACTCCCTCATTCAGTTAACTATCTACCGCTTTATGTCCAGTGACATCCTTTACTAAAAACTTGAGGATAATAATAAACTCTTAAATAATAAACCATTTTTATTATGCACATTTTAAAATGTTTTATTATGTTTGTAATAAGGTAAAACTTTGCAATTTGAAGGTGAAAGTTTATAAAGCGATTAGCTTCCTGTTAAATTATTTTTGTTGTTATTTACTTTTGATTTGTAACCAACTTATAGCAGACCCTGCAGTGGGTTTTCAGAGGCAGTAAGTTGCATAGGAGGAGATTGTCCATCTCTCTCCCACAGAGCAGCGTATGGATTCAAACAGCATGACTTTTGGTTGGCAGTGCAACTTCTTACCCACTAGGCCATCAGATCATCCTCCACATTAAACAGGTTACATATAACGTAGCCTTAGTTTCATTTCCCACTAGGTGTCAGCAGTTTCCCCATTCACCACCTATTATCTGGATTTTTGGCCCTTTCCTACTTCTCTTCTTTGTTTTGGGAAAATGTCCTTTTGATCTTCTGAGGAATATGTTCCTCTTGGGTGTTACTGTTTATTTTATGGATCTGTCTATTTGGGGATCAGAGATTTCTCTGCAAATGGCTTCAGTTTGGGGTTAGAGAGTGTCTTAGGGCAATAATCTCAGGGGTGCCTCCAGTCTGTTAGACAAAGTCTGGCTGTTTTCATGAATTGTATTTTCTAGTTCTTTACTATTTTCCTGCTCTGTCTGGGACCCTCTGTTGAGATGCAAGTCAGTGTGGTCAGGGAGGATAGCCAGGCACCATCTAGTTCTGGTTTTCAAGTCATGTCGGCAGTGGTTCATATGATTCCATATTCCTTTTGACTAATTGCCTCATGCAAACTTTAGTTTTCTTTACTCTTCTTTACTCTGGAAAGGCAAAGACCAATAGTTATATATTTCATGGCTTAAATGTGCTTTTAAGACTCTAGTTGCTACTCAACAAAGTAGGATGTAGAACATTGCCTTTATGGGCTACATTGTGCCAATTCATTTTGATGGTTCTTTACCTTTGAGCCCACGACCTTTGTCATGCTATGTGATTGGTCATATCTAAGAAGTTGCTTTTACTGTGCTGCTTGGGAACTCTTACTTATATTAATTTACATGCAACTCATACAAATATAAATGTAGAAATATCCACAGCTAATCTCTCTATAAATTTGTGTACCAGCTTGTATGCTTCCATAATTCTTGAGCACACCTTGTTACCTTGTTACCGATCTTAGGTTTATTTTTTTGGGTGTTTTTTTTTTTTTTTAGTGTTTTCCTTGACCTTTGTCAAATTGTGCTGTCTTCTCCCATATTGAAAATTACCTTTCCCTTCACCATTATAAACATACATCTTCTATCTAATTAGGAATGCTATTTCCTTTTGCCTGGTAACCAAAAAAAAAGGTATGTTGTTGTAACTGATGGTGGGTTTTAGTTTTGTTTCTTTTCCTGCATGTAAACTGTTTCTTTTTCTTCTTCAAACCATCAAAGCTCTTCTTACCCAATCCCCCTTCCCCTTTCTTGTCTGGCTTTCAGAATGGATTCTAAAGTATTATTGTATATTCTGAAATAGCCTAATAGTAGTTATATGAGCTCTGAATATTTGGTAGAATTTTCCACTGAAGTCATAATGGCTTTTTCTTGTTGTAAGAGATTTGTATTATCTCTTTAGTCTTTTCTCTCTTTTTCTATAGATCTATTTGGTTTCTTTACTTCAGTTTATGTTAGTTTAGGTAAGTAACATGTTTCTTAAAAAATGAGCATAACTTCTACCTTTTAAAATTGTTTAGAATTTCCCATAGCATTCTCTTCTACTACTTTCTTTTGGTTCTATTTTAATCTCACCTATCTCATTTATTGTTTGGTTATTCTCTTCTTATGCTGCTTTTTTCTGTCAATTTGGCTAGTAGTTTGCCAATTTTACTGATCTTGTCAAAGAACCAACTACTGGTTTTATTAATTTTATTAATATATTTCTAATTATATATAATCTTTCTATAGCTGTTGTTTTGTGCTGTCGAGTTGACCATGACACATGGTGACCCTATACACAATAGCTCTGGGCCCTGCTTTATCCTGGCCCAATCTCACTGCCTGTGACACATCAACCCTTGTTTACCCCAGTTACCAAGTCAATCCATCTCATCCAGGGTCTTCCTCTTTTGAGCTGACCCTCAACCCTCCCAAGTATGATGTCCTTCTACAAGGACTGGTCCCTTCTGACAACATGCCCAAAGTATCTTTCTATTATTAACTATTTATATTATCTTTCTATTATTATCTATTATTTCTTACTCTATTTTTTTTATTATTTCCTTGTTTCTGAGGGCTTTTTGTGCTCCTGTTATTCTAGGGGTTCAAGTTTTGATTTTTACAAAATATAAAGAAAGGAGAGGAGACAGAAGAAAGAGAGAGGAGAGATGTGAAAAGAGTGATTGAGAAAAAGAGAGAGTAAGAAAGATAGAGAGAAAAGAAAAGAAAGATAGAGAGGGATAGACAAAAGCGAAAAAGGAAGAAAGAGGGGATATCCCTACCAAATAATTATAGTACCAAGCAGCACGTTTGTGAGGAGGTGTTGAGTCATATTCTTTCTTACGTAGGAAGCCTGTGCTCAGTATTGGGGAGAAGGAAAACAAACCTATGAAGATGTAGAAGTTGATATGAAAGACACCAATGCATCTTCAACTTACACCCTCCGTGAATTTGAACTGAGACATGCCAAGGTATGAAAACAATTATAAGAGTATATAGCATTTATGTAGTTGATTTTGTAGAAACATTTGTATAAATTACTCTTTGAAAGTAAAAAGTGAGATAATTTTTCAGCATAAAGTTCTTAAATAATTGAAGTGACTGTAACTATAATGAAAATATGACTACCAGATGATATGATGGACTGAATTCCTCTCAAGTTAATGCTCATTTCTGCTTTTAGAGAAAAGATAGCAGAACTGTGTATCAGTATCAATATCATAACTGGAATGTAGAAGAACTTCCTGCAGAACCAAAAGACTTAATATCCATGATTCAAAGCCTTAAGCAAAAACTTCCTAAGAAGAATTCTACCGAAGGAAATAGGTACCATAAGCATGTACCTCTCCTCGTTCACTGCAGGTAGGTAAGAGTTCATAGTGTATGTTCTAAAAAATCATTGTAAACTTACTGTGCTGGTTCCTATTTTCTCATATATTTTATTTACCCTGATATATAAAACTCTTGGCCACAATAAAAAATCATGTATAAAGTAATTCCTTCTCATTTATGCTCATATTGTTTAACTGCTAAAGAAATACAATAGGCATAATTATATTCAATATACTATAATATGCTGCTGCTGCTGTTGTTGTTGTTTGTTAAATGCCATCGAGTCGTAGGTGACTCATAGTGACCCTATGAACTTTCTTCGTTTCTCCAAGTTCATAGGGTTTCCAGAGGCAAGCTATTTTGGAAATGGATGCCACTCCTGCTTCTAAGCTTGTTAATTGGGGAGCTCAGCCTGAAGGTGGGGCCAAGCATTTCAGGATTTAAAAATTCTTGGCACACTCATAAGCTGGTGAACTGTTAGCCAGAAACCCCCAGTTCATCTGGCAAGTCCCATTTGCTGACACCCACTTGGGATGAAAAGAAAGGTATAAGAGAGCCAAACGTTCATTCCATATGATCTATAATATAGATCACAATGATATAATTTACATCATGGGTTCCCAGATGCTTAGTACCATATATTTTGATTCTGCAATACCTGAAATTGAGCCTGAAATGTAATATGTTCTGAATGAATGAATAAAAACTATCTGGAAAAAATGTTGTTGTTGTTGTTTGTTTTCAATTCATAAATGGCTCCTAGCTGACCCTCCAGTAGATTTTCAGAGGCTACAAATCACATGGGAGAAGATTGTATATGTTCCTTCCAACAGAACAGCTTGTGTTTAAACTGCTTGCCTTTGGATTTGCAGCATAATTCCTTACCCATTAGGCAATTTCCTTACCCAACTGAGACAAATAGATGAGTAGATATTATACATAATACATACTTATAAGCATATATCTACTACATTAGATGTTACAGAGACCAGAGGTGTTATTGAATATTATGCCTTCAGTAAACATATATTATTCATGAAGTAAAATCTCAATGGTTAGAAAAACTGTTTTTTTATAATTTAACTTTATGAATGGATTAAAAATGCAAATATTTAACAATATTAACAATAATGCTTGAATTTATTAATTTGCTATTCACACTCTTAAAATTTATCTGTAATATTCATACATACCCATCTTCAATAAAAGATTGAGTCTTCCAGATTTTTAATTGCTATGCAAATAATGCATAATCATCCATTCCTTTCAGATTGTTCTCTTCACATATTCCACTACAGTATTCGTCATCTATACATTTCACCTTGTCCATCTTATTTCTATAACAGTGATCTTATTTATGCAGTATTTGTCCTTTTGTGACTGAGATATTTCACTCAGCAGGATGTCTTCCAGATTCATCCATGTTGTGTAGTATTTTACAAGTTCATTGTTTTTCAGTACTGTGTAATATCCCATTGTGTGAATTTACCACAGTACATTGTACGAATGTACCCACTTACATACAGGTAACTGATTTTTTGACAAGGAGACAGATCAGTTAAGTGGGGAAAAGACAGTGTCTTTAATAAATGGTGCTGACCAAACTGGACAGCCATTTGCAGAAAACTGAAGCACGACCCTCACTTAATGTTGTTGTTGTTATGTGCCGTCGAGTCGCCTGCGACTCATAGCGACCCTATGTACAACAGCCCTAAGCTCCGCTCTGTCATGTGCCAATCGCACTGTCTCTGACACTCCCATCCCAATTATCCCAGTCACTGAATCAATCCACCTCATAGAGGGCCTTCCTCTCCTGCGCCGTCCCTCTACCCTCCCAAGCATGATGCCCTCTCTAAGGACCGGTCTCTCCTCACTACATGTCCAAAGTAAGTTAGACGGAGCCTCAGAATCCTTGCCTCCAAGGAGCCACCCAGTTTAACCCTCTCCAGGACAAATCTATTTGTTTTCTTAGCAGTCCATGGTATTCTCAATACTCTTCTCCAGCACCACAGCTCAAAGGCATCAGTTCTCCTTCTATCCTCCTTGGTCATTGTCCAACTCTCTGATGCATAACAGGTGATTGCAAAGACCATGGCCTGTATCAGACACACCTTAGTCTCCAGAGAGGCACCACTGCTCTTCAGCACTTTGGAGAGGTCCCTAAGAGCAGACTTTCCCATGGCAATGCACCTTTTAATTTCCTGGCTGCTGGTGCCAAGACTGTTGACTATGGAGCCAAGCAAACTAAAGCTGTGTACAAGCTCAACTCTTCACCATCCATCCTGATGCTGCCAATTGGTCCAGTGGTGAGAATCTTTGTCTTCTTGACATTGAGCCTCAATCCATATTGTAGGCTGCAGTTCTTGACACTCTGCAGCAGGCGCTTCAGGTCCTCCTCAGTTTTAGCAAGCAGGGTTGTGTCATCCGCATAACGCAGATTGTTGATAAATCATCCACCAATCCTGACCCCACATTTCTCCTCATAGAGCCCAGCCTCCCGGGTAATCTGTTCTGCATATAGGTTGAAAAGGTATGGAGATAGGATAGCATATAAAAAAGAAAACTATCTCAGCGTGTATTAAGGATTTCAGAGTAAAACCGAAGATTGTCAATTTCATCAGATAAAAACTGGAAACCACTCTAGAAGCCCTAATGTACATCTTGAATAGATTTGCAAGCATAGACAAAAACCTACAACCAGTAGAGATAAAATAAATGAATGAGATTCTAACAATAAAATCCTTATGCACATAAAAAAAAACTTCAATAGAGTAAAAAGGAATGCCGTAGACAGACAAATATTTGACAATCACAGGTACATTGACAATCACAGATATATCAGACATAATATCTAAAATTTATAGAATATTCCAGCTTTTCGACAAGAAAAAGTCAAACAACCCAATCACAAAATAGTCACAAGATATGAATAGATACTTTACCAAAGAAAAAAGTCGGATGGCCAGCAAACAAATCAAAACAACAAATCAACTGTAAAACAGAGTGAGAATCACATGGGGAAAGCCATATCTGACCTTAACCAACTTCACAGGGGGAAACTATCCCCACCCACAGCATCAATAAGACAAAACCAATTCCCATGAGGTCAGACACATTCCCCCAATTTCCCATGCTTCCTTCTACTCATCTTAACACCAGTTCTACTGTTTGGCTGGGCACAAAGTTCTATGTGATAGCTCACCCACAACAAAGAACCATATTGGGGAAGTTAAAAGTTTAAAGGTCAGGTTAATAACCAAATACATTCAAGACGCTCCCAAAATGTGCATGCAGACACCTCAGCCTCGAGTCTCATGGCTCTATGTGCTCTAAAGATCTCAGTCTATAAGAACTGCGCTGTTGTATTTGCATTGACTCATAGCTAACCCTCAAGTGGATTTTCAGGGGTTATAAATATGTTTGGGAAATGATTCATCTTGCTCCTAAGAAGAACAGCACAACTTCATTAAACCACCTAAGATTATTTTATTTCCACATGTTATAAAATGTTCTAAAAAGGGATTTAGCATAGATAATTTGTTTTTAATTATGAGATGGGGATAATATAATGGAAATATGAAGTAGAAAGTCCTCTATTCTATTTTTCAATCAAATATCACTTTCTCCACAAATGTAGAATTTTATTCTTTACTTCTCCTTTTCTTCTTCTTGTAGAGATGGATCTCAGCAAACTGGGATATTTTGTGCTTTATTAAATCTTTTGGAAAGTGCAGAAACAGAAGAGGTGGTTGATGTTTTCCAAGTAGTAAAATCTCTACGCAAAGCGCGGCAAGGGATGGTTTCCTCATTTGTAAGTATACTTCATCATTACTTTTCACATCTTTTGCATTTTTTTATCTTGACAGTGTTCTTTTCTTCTGTTATTCTTTGTGATTTTTTTTTAACATGACAACTTGCATAGAATTATCACTGTCATTAAAGGACTTAATACCAAAAACTTGTCTAAACTTCATTGTAGCAATTATTGAAAGAAGTTTTCTTTATTCAGAGCCATAGATTCAATTATCATGCATGGTCACCATCAAAGAGACTACCCAGTGTTACTCTGTGGAGGTGTTGGTAGATTCAAACATCAGAGAGTTGCAGGCTTTGCGTAGCAACACAATATGATAGAATGGGCTTTTACAAAACTCCTCACCTTTACCTCTCATATTGAGTCAAAATGTGTTGAAATTGACTTGACAGTAACAAGTTTGTTTTGTTTTTGGAAATCTCACATTAAATAATATTGTTGTAGAAGAAATGAACCCCTTTAAAAGAATTTAAAAGAACTTGCTTTAAAAGAATTTCATTTATCATATTTTAAAATTGATTATTGAAATGGCTATGCTGGTCTTATGAGCCCCAGCCATCTTGCACCAAGCTTACTCCTATGCTTGACATCAGAGTTGATCGTTCCCTTGGGGTCTAAATTGACTTAAAATACCTGCTGGCTTAGGTAGCTCATTGGCTTAGTGAGAAGGAGTTGTGCTACCAACCTATCCACCAGCCTCTCGGCAGGATAAAGAAAGGCAATTTCTCTTGCTATTAACTGCCTCTGAAAACCAGCTGGAGGATCAGTGATGGGGCCATTCTAACTCAGTGGTACACAACAACAACAAACAGATGTCAACTTGCATTTAACTATACCAATAGCCATATGTGAGGCCATATGTCATAAATGTCTGCATTTAGCTATAAAAATAGCCATATGAGAGGCCATATATGTCTCTTCTCCATCCTCAAGGATGGACGTATTCACATAAAAGTGTCCGTTGTTCAAGAGGGAGAACAGGAGTCTACTATATCTATATCTTGAGACTCGTTGTCCAAAATTGGACTGCATCTGACCAGCCAAAGACGCCTCAAGATTAGCCTCGGTTTGCCTTTACTACTTGTTAAGGAAGTCTTATTGGAAATATTGTGACTTTGTAGTCATTTTTTCATTCTCTATAAATGGTAGCAATCATAGTTGATAATCTAGAAATAATTAATCAGGCACAATATAAACTTAGTACTCACTAAAATGCATGTTACTTTTAATTACATATCACATTGAGCTTGCATTTATTGCTTTAAAAAGATGTATTGAATGCCTATGATACGTTCTTGACATCAAGTGGCTCTCTGTTTAGGAGAAAGCCAAGTACTTACTATACAGTGTAGAAAGTGAATGGATAAAAGCACTTATATCAACCTGTGCTATTCCTAAAGTCTGTGATTCCCATTCAGATTCTTAAATGGTGTGTTGGTATTAAGTGCATAAGGATGATAGAAAAAATTAAGATGAAAAAAAGCAGGGAAAAGGGATGAAAATGAGACTTTACATGTCAAGTGAGGAGATGGAAACTGGTTTGAACTTGCTAGAAGGTAGATTTTGTTTGTACGTTGTTGTTAAGTGTCACCAATTTAACTTCTCCATATAGCAACCCTAGACCCTGTGCTGTTCTCACAATTTCTTCTGTACTTAAACCCATTGTTAGAGCCACTGTATTGAGCTAACTTGAGGATCTTCCTCTTTTTATCCAGCCTTATACTTTTTGAATAGGACCTTGTCATCAAGTCTTTAGAAGGTTATCTTAGAAAAATATCAGAGTAGCTTTTTTTTATTTTTTAGTTTTCACAAGTTGATTATTATTTCTTGCTGCTTTTGTCTTATATAAAGCTAATATTTTGTGATTCATTTAATTGAACAGGAGCAGTACCAATTCTTGTATGACATCATTGCTAGCACCTACCCTGCCCAGAATGGACAAGTAAAAAAAGGCAAAAACCAAGAAGATAAAGTTGAATTTGATAATGAAGTGGACAAACGGAAGCAGGATGTAAATTCCGTTAATCTGCTTGATGCGTCAGATAAGACAGAGGAAGGAAACAAAGAGGCTGAAGGTCCCCAGCCAAAGAGTAGCACTGAGGAACCAGAATGTTCTGCCAATGGTCCTTCAAGTCCAGCTTTAACGCAAAATGCATAAAGGAAGGTGCAAATGAAATAACATGAAGAAGAAGCAAAAATAGGTGAACAGAAGGATGATTTAGTACATTGGACCTATGCTTGTGGCTTCTAATTTTAATGCTGTGGGGAAATATTTAAGATAGTTTTTTTGAAATGCTTTGTACAGTCTTCTGCTTATTTTAAAATTTTATCTATCATTCATTAAAAATTTGTTTACACTGTGTGCATGTATATCTGTGCTTTTTTTGCATGTATGCAAGGAAGAGAAGCAGGAAGAAGAGAGTACTTTCTAGTTTTATCTAACTGTTCTTGAGATGTTTCTCCTTTTTGTGTTTCCCTGGCAGATAAGCCAACAGTTTTTAATATAAGTATTTTAGGTTAAGAGACTTATTTCAAATCATAGTGTGCTACTCGTGTAAGAATAACATGTATGTTTCAAGAGTGACCTCAAGAGGTCCTCATTGTTCTATCCATATATATCTTCTAGCTTATGATTTTACTTCTATAGATGACATATAACAACAATATTTGAGTGCATAGTTAAGACACAAAAAAGTAAACCAATTTTGGGGACCACGTATGCCATAGGCAGACATTTAGTACCGTATTTCTTTGTGCATATTTAATCTAATTTAAAATCTCAAGTGGTTCTATTCTGTTAACTTCACATTTTTATAATTTGCAAGAGTATTTTTCTGTATATTATGTGAAATTAATTCCTTAGTGTTTTTATGACTGCCTTGTTACATGTTTTTTAAATTCAATAAACTTAAATAAACATCTTAGAAAAATACTAGATCTATGTCTATGTTTCTATCTACGAATGTATGTATGTGAATTTATACCAAGAGAATTAATATAAATTTATGCATGTTTATTTGTGTCAAATATTTAATTATGAAACTGAGAATGTTTGTTCTAAATTTTGGTTGGAATGCATTTACTATAAATTTTGCTGGCTTAGTGGTACAGAGTTGCACTACCAACAGCATGTATTTCAATTCGACTGTCTCTGTAAACCTACTGGAGGGTCAGCTATGAGTCAGTTCCAATTGGATAATACATGACAACAACTACAACAACAAAATGCTTAGACTCTTTTCTAAGGAAGTGGTATTAGTATATCAATATAATTCAATTATTCCTTTTTTCATTTTTTCAATTATTCATTTTTATTGTATGCTGTTGTTAGGTGCCATGGAGTTAAGTATGAATCATAGCAACCCTGTGTACAACAGACTTGAATCCTGTCCTATCCTGTGGCATTCTCTTCAGCTTTGATACAGTTAAGCTCATTGCTACAGTCACCATGTCAATCCACCTCCTTCTGGGTCGTCCTTCCTTTGTTATGCTAATCCTTCACCTTTTCAAGCATGATATTCCATTCCAAGGAATAGCATCTCCTAGCAAAGGCATGGGGTTCAAATTGACCAGCTGTTCTGCTGGTGAAGGACGGGTAATTAACTGCCTCTGAAAACCTGCTGGAGGGTCAGTTCTGACTCGATGACATACCACCATCATAACAGCAAGATGTCCAAACTATGAGAAATAAAGCTTTGCCAATAATGCTTCTAAAGAGCACTCTGGATGCGCATTTTCCCGAGGATATATCTGTTTGTTCTTTCGGCAGACCATTCAGTACTCTTCTACAACACCACAACTCAGAGGCATTAATTTATTCTTCTGTAATGCTCATTCATTGTCCAGCTCTCAGAAGCAAAGTAAGTAACTGAAATAACCATATCCTGAGTCTTAATCTTCAAACTCACATCATTGCTCTTCAGTATTTTGGAGAGGATTCTGACAGTATATTTTCCCAAAGCAATGCATGATCTCCTTATTCCTGGTTCCAAAGGTGTTGACTGTGGATCCAAGTAAGACAAAATCATGGACAATTTCAATCCTTTTCCCCTCTATCATGATGTTAACAATTGTCCCACTGGTAAGGATCTTTGTTTTCTTGATTTTAAAATCTAATCCATGTTGAAGGCCATATTCTTTGATCTTCTGCAGCAAGCATTCCAGGTTCTCCTCACTTCCAGCAAGACAACTTGTATCGTCTACATAACACAAGTTGTTGATAAGTTTTCCTCCAATAATTATACCATATTCTGTATATAAGATATTAAATGTATGCTTATACACATGTACATATATCGTTTTCATTCCAATTAAAATATTTATAGAATTCTTTTACAGGCTCCTATCTTTCCAAGGACTCAATGTCTTTAAAATGTATGTCTATAAAATGTTTAGGAACTAGAAATAACCTCAAGAATGATGTTATTTTCCAAAGAAAATGAGAGCAGTGTCTTTTGGTGGATTTATTACTATTGACCTAAGAAGAAGTGAAAATATTTTTTTCATTTTTTTCTCTGCAAAAGAGAAGTTTTCATTAAAGGAAAGATAAAACAGTGTTCAGAAGATCCAACCCAGTGTGAGAACACCTAGCAAACTGCAAGTAAGGTCCCCTGCAGTAGAATATGGAATAAAATATTGTACAGCTCATTTTTTAGCATAAAAAGTAAGTGACATATCCAACTATGGGTTATTTGACTAGGGAATTGATAATGAGATATAGATGTTCATTTTCTAGAGTTTAGCACTGCCATTAATAATTTGCAGGCATAGTCAGAATCATAAGCAAAGACTTTCAAATTCATAGAATCTAGTCCTTTTTTAGAATCTGGCCCATTTTTAATGACAAGCAACTGGATCTCATTGTATGCTTTTTGTTTGTTTTCTGGAGAGAAAGATACTCTTATATGTTTCCTTTAAAGTTACATTTATCTGTCTTGTTTTTTTTTTAAGTGCCAGAATACTTTAAGAACAAAAAACCCTATATTTAATACACTTAGCCCTTGAAAAATTAAACTTCCAAGCTGTTTACTTTATTCATAAGCCAAATATTTACTAGAGAAAGATGTATTTTAACAGTGCAGTGGTGAAACTGATTAGTTGAAAGTCTTTGCAGTGCTACTTAAAAACTGTTAAATCTCTGCTTACAACTCTAGTATTCATACGTTTCTATTTTAATATCTATTTTTGTTCATTTTCTGTTAAATCTTTTGAGGTAAAGTTTTTTCCTTTTTTTAAGCCAGCAATACCTGATTCTTATTTTTAATTGTTGTTGTTGTTGTTGTTATGTGCCTTGGGGTCGTTTGCGACGCATAGCGACCCTATATACAACAGCCCTAAACCCTGCTCTATCCTGTTCCACGCGCATTATCTCTGACACACCCATCCCGATCATCTCCATCATCTCCAGAGAGACACAGCCGCTCTTGAGTACTTTAGAGAGGTCCCTAACAGCAGACTTTCCCATCGCAGTACGTTTTTTTTTATTTCCTGGCTGCTGGTTCCAAGAGTATTGACCGTGGAGACGAGCAAACTGAAGCTGTGAACAATCTCAATCTCTTCACCATCCATCCTGATGCTACTAATTGGTCCAGTGGTGAGAATCTCTGTCTTCTTGACATTGAGTCTCAGTCCATACTGAAGCCTGCAGTCCTTGACCCTCTGCAACAAGTGCATGAGATCCTCCTCAGTTTCGGCGAGCAGGGTTGTGTCATCTGCATAACACAGATTGTTAACAGATCTTCCACCAATCCTGAAGCCACACTTCTCCTCATAGAGCCCAGCCTCTTGGATAGTCTGCATACAGGTTGAAAAGGTATGGAGATAGGACACATCCCTGGAGTACACCCTTCCCAATTTTGAACCGTGCAGTATTACCCTGCTCTGTTCTGATGACTGCCTCTTGGTCCAAGTATAGGTTTTGCATTAGCACGATTAAATGTTCTGGGATTCCTATTCTTCTCAGAGTCAGCCACAGTTTGTTATGATCCAAACAGTCAAACGCCTTTGCATAATCAATGAAACACAGACATTCTTCTGGTATTCCCTGATTTCAGCTAAGATCCATCTAACATCAGCTGCAATATCCCTAGTACCACGACCCCTTCTAAACCCAGCCTGGACTTCCAGCAGTTCTCTGCTGATGTACTGTTCCAGTCGTTTTTGGATAATCTTCAGTAGAATCTTGCTTGCATGTGAAATCAATTGTTCTGTAGTTTCCGCACTCAGTTGGGTCACTCTTCTTTGGAATGGGGACAAATATAGACCTCTTCCAGTCACTTGGCCAAGTGGTTGTTTTCCAGATTTCTTGGCACAACTTGGTGAGCACATCCACAGCAGCATCTGTTAGCTGAAATATGTCAATTGGTATACCATCTATTCCGGGGGGCTTATTTTTTTTCTATTTCCATCAAAGCAGCTTGAACTTCTTCCTTCATCACCATAGGATCTTGCTCAAGTATTATTTCATTAAATTCTTCTGTATCTGCCAATTCCTTTCAATACAATGACTCAGTATATTCCTTCCATCTTCTTTTAATACTTCCTGGATCATTTAATATTCTGTCTAAAGCATCCTTGATTATAGCAACACAACGTACGTGAATGAAAAAAAAAGTATACGAATTTTGTATGTTGTTTTTGTTATGTGCTGTCAAGTCACCTGTGATCCATAGTGACCCCATGTACCCTGAACCCTGCGCTGTCCTAAGCCAGTCTCACTGATTCTGATACACCAACCTCATTGGTGCATTTACTCTATGAATCCATCTCATCCAGGATCTTCTTCTCCTGCACTGACTCTTGCACACTTTAACCCTCTGAGCATGGCGTCCTTCTCCAAGGACTGTGTGTCCTTCTCCTGGCTATGTGTCCAAAGTATGTGAGAGAGAGCTTCAAAATCCTGGCCTCCATGAGAAACCTGGTTTCACCATCTCCAAGACAGACCTATTTGTTTAAAAATGGATATTAAATGAAAAAAATGTTAAAAAATAATAGAATAGAAAGCAATAGAACTAGAGGGCATGTGCATGTGGGTTAGCCTGGAGGAGGATTAGACCCCACCTAGTACTCTGAGAAGATTTGCATTTGAATGGATTTATAAACTTTCCTTGGACTTTTGATTGAAGAGATGTTCATTTGGAAGAGGAAGAAAAAGAGACT